TCCGCTTTTCCGACTGTTCCTGGGGCCGATTTCTGCCGATCCGATTTTTTCCGACTCGGCTGTCGATTTCCGACGATTCGATTCATGTCGATCGCCGATCCGACTTGTCGATCCGATCCTGGGCTCTCCTGCCCCTGCTCCCGTCCCTGCCGCCCCCTCGCCGGGTGCGGCGGCCCTTCAGCGCTGGGGCACGGGTGGTCCGCGCCGGGCTCCGGCCGGCAACCGCCGTCCCTCCCGTGGTCCTGGACGCCCGGAAGGGGTGCGGCAAGAAGGGGTACTCCAGATTTCGTAATAAAGGGAGGGGGGTCTCATTTCGGGGGGGGGCTCTTCCAGGCTATCTTGGAGGGCCTGGGGGGGTCTGGGGACGATGTTTTGGAGGGTTCTCCCACGGGGGAGGTCTGGGAGGTCTGAAATGGCTTGTCTTGGAGGGTCCAGACCCCCTCCCTTTTATTACGAAATCTGGCGTACAATGCCCAGCAGCAGTTCCTGTTCCTTTTGAACAGGGTTCGCTGCCCACGCCGCCGCGGCCTGTGTCCATGCGAGACGGAAGGCCGCCTGCCCGACAGCGGCCGCTGCTGCTTCGGCGCAGCATTTGTGGTTGGGCCTTGTACCCAGTCTTTCTGGGCGTGCAAAGTCGTGCTCCTCCTCCTCCTTCTCCTCCTCCTCCTCCTCCTCCTCCTCCTCCTCCTCCTCCTCCTCCTCTCCTCCTCCTCCTCCTCCCTCCTCCGCCTCTCCTCCTCCTCCTCCCCCTCCTCCCCTCCCCCTCCCCTCCCCCTCCCTCCTCCTCCTCCTCCTCCTCCTCCTCCTCCTCCCCCCTCCTCCTCCTCTCCCCCCTCCTCCCTCCTCCTCCTCCTCCTCCCCCTCCTCCCCACCTCCTCCTCCCCCTCCTCCTCCTCCTCCTCCTCCTCCCCTCCCCCTCCTCCTCCTCCTCCTCCTCCTCCTCCTCCTCCTCCTCCTCCTCCCTCCTCCTCCCCTCCCCCTCCTTCCTCTGTACCCATCTCGGGCGTGCAAAGTCGTGCTTCCCCCGCGGCGCGAGGGGGGCCCCTGCGCGACCGGGAGCCTCTGCTCGGCGTGTCGCGCCTTTTCGGCGCCGGCCCACGCGACTCCCCCGGGGGCGACGCGCCGAGGGCGCGCCCCAGTCCCCCTCCCTCCCTCCCTCCTCCCCTCATCCCCTCCTCCCCCTCCTCCCCCTCCCCCTCCTCCCCCTCCTTCCCCTCCTCCCTCCCTCCCTCCTCCCCCTCCTCCCCCTCCCTCCCCCCCTCCCCCCCCTCCTCCCTCCTCCCCTCCCTCCTCCCCCTCCCCCCCTCCTCCCCCCTCCTCGCCCTCCTCCCCCTCCTCCCCCTCTTTCTGGGCGCGCCGAGCTTCTCCCGGCTCTTTGTCGGGCCGCTCCTCTCCGCGAGGCGGAGCGGCACGCGCTCCCTGCTCTCGTCAAGTGGGGCCTGTCCCTCTACGGGAGGTTTAAGCAGAAATAGTAAGAAAAACGTCTCGGGACGATTCTTTGTCTATTTTATGTTTCGTGCCGTTTTTTGTATTCTTGGCGTATTTCTTAAATTGTTCATCCAACATCCGCCTGTAGGGGGACATGCCCGACCGAATGCTCGCTGAGCAGCGGGCAGCAGGAGGGCACGGCGCGCCGCAATTGGGCCGCCGCCGCGGCACGCCGAGCAGGAGGCTCTCGCCTCACCGCTCGGTGGCTTCCGCCGGTCAGGGGCAACGGCAGGGGGGGACAGGCTTGGGTCGGGCGTGCCCCCCTACAGGCGGATTTTGGAAGGGGGCCACATGCGAGCCCGACCCCTGCCCCCCCCACGATTTCGGAGTGGGAGGGTGGGGTAGGGTTCGCATGTGGCCCGCTATTTTGGACGGAAGATGAAACATATTCAAAATACCATAAAGAACTCAAGCAATGGTAGAACACCTAGTCAAGCAACATCTCAAACATAGTCAAAAAGTGATAGACTGTGTTGCTACTATTTTTGAATATCCCTCCTGTAGAGGGGCACGCCCGACTTGAGGATTGGCTCAGGGGGGGGACGCACCCATCCCCAGTCGCATCGCGCATGCATCGCTGGGGGCCCGACAGCCCCCCCCCCCCTGCCCAGGAGCCTGCGGTGTTGACATCGGCCGCCCATCGCCGAGCTGACGTCTATGTCTCGCCGATTCCGTCTCGACGTTTCCCTCCTCCTCCTCCTCTCCTCCTCCTCCTCCTCCTCCTCCTCCTCCTCCTCCCCCATCCTCCTCCTCCTCCTCCTCCTCCTCCTCCTCCTCCTCCTCCTCCTCCTCTTCCCTGGTGGTGTGCGGGTCGGCACTCGGCCCCCGTCCGCCGTCGGGGACGGGCCGGGCCCCCCGGGAGCGCTCTCGGCGAGGCGCGGCTGCTGGACCGCCCACCCCGAGGCTGGGAAGCCACCGAGGGACCGGCAGGAGCTCAAGCGGTGGCGCGAAGCGTCCCGGCTCGCCGATAGGCCCACCGAACCATATTCGAAGAGCTGTGCGTGGCTCCCAC